AGCGACATCCACGACTTACCCGCTTTTTTTTAAATGGACTTTTAAAAATGTCCTGATCTACCGTGTATTCACCAATTTCATTGAAGAGAACACTGAATTTCTCGGCTGGATTATGTTGGAATAAATCKATTTTTTTACAAACTATAGTGGTATATAAACAAACATTTTCAGATAAATTTCAAATTTTTAACTTTCTTGGTACGCGCATGCGCAATGCAACTTTTTTTTTTTWAAATAGCAACCCGTATTTTTGATACCAAATTCGTATAGGCTGAATTTTTTTTAAAGTCATTTTGACCTATTAACCATGGCTCTAAAACCATAATTGACTGATTGAGAACTATTCAAATTTTAATAAATAATACATTTTTATAATTCATTATAAAATGCATAAAACCATTTATAATTATTTATTATTGGTTACTATTTAGATATTTTTACGTATTTTTTTTTACCTGTTATAAATAAGATTAACATAGTTTGAATATTAAATTATTAAATTAAAATTGATTACAACTGTTATATTTTATAATATATGAAGTTATCGAGGTTTTAAATAATAAGATTATCTTAATTGACATAGTTATTCAGATACAATACTAAATAATCATAAGTTATAACGATAATAAATGCATTTATTGTACATGAATATGCACTTTTATTAGATGTATAATACTATTAAGCGATAGTTTATACCTATACCTATTAATTCGTAATTGTTTATAGGTAGAAAAACTAAAAAATTCATACTTGAAAGATTAGATAAAATGTATTATTTTTATGCTTATTGTCATACTAGTGCGATTCGTTGGGTTAAAATGAACAACCAAGAAAAAGTGCGAATACTATTAATTTATGGTAAATGTGATGGAAATTCTCGTATGTCAGCAAGAATGTATGCTGTATAATACCCAGGTTGGTACCATCCACCACATTCATTTTTTATTAAGATAGAACAATATTATTAATTAACCCTGGTACATTTTCTGTAAAAATAGTACTTAACCAACAAATTTAAGAAAACAATATTAATGATGATGTAGAACTTCAAGTTTTAGCTTACATTAGATCGAATCCACGATCTTCGATTAAACATGTTAGTAGAGAAGTTGGAATCTCGTTCGGCCTTGTTCATACAATTTTTAAAAAAACACAAAATGCATCCTTACAAACYTGACTTAGTTCAACATTTACGACCTGCAGATCCAGAAAGAAAGTTAAATTGCATTGCTTGTTTACTCGTTCAAATCGATACACAACCGTTATTTTTAAATCAGATATTATGGACTGATGAATCTAAATTCACGAACAATGGAGATATTAATAAACAAAACAATCGTATGTGGTCAGATGTTATTCTCCATTGGGCAGTGGATAATCGTTACCTACCCGTAAATGTATAGGGTACTAATTTTTGGTGG